TAATAATTATATAATTTTATACATTTAAAATGTTAAATATAATCAAGATATACATATATTTATATATTTACGGATCGGATCGGATATCCGCTTCCCAAAATTTTACTATTTGTGATTTGCTTCGATTTTAACGGATATTGAATTTTAGTATTTGCTTTGATTCGAAAGTTTACGGATATCCGGAATTTTCGGATCGAATTGAAACGAATAACGAATCGAATCAAATATAACGGATAAAATGCCCAGCCCTAGCTATACTAGTAGGTTTTCGCATCTTGCTTCCCGATCTATTAATTGTGGGGTTGACTTTAAATGTCTTTTCAGATAGTGTGTTGGAATGATACACAGGTGAGACCTACTAAATGGTAGTCTTCTTTTGCCATAAATGGTAGTCGAGTCGTATCATCGTATGTTAAGCCACTTTTAAAGTTTCTACATCTATATTGTTCAAATTTCATGAAATTATCAGTTTTCAAATGAGTCAAATCATTTCGATTTTGTGTTGAAATACCACTTTGTCCCTAACTCTCCATTTTCCACGTTGGAGCCTCAAGGTTAAATAGATAACAATGTAAATACATTGAAAAAGAGGAGGTAGTGACATGTAGATGATTGGTTGAATTGCATGTAAAAGTTTTCGTAGAATTTTTTATGTATCTATATTTAATATACTTGTAAGTATTAAATGAGAAGAAAAATAAAAAGATATTCATACACTAGTATTTCTTTTCTCTACGACTTCTAAAACAAGCTGTTGTAATGATGTCTCTTTAAGAGAGGAAGAAAAATGGAATAAAATGTACTTACCTAAAAAAAAAAAAAAAAAAAAAAAAAAAAAAAACGAAGTTGCTATATCCATCTTTATTTTTATTTTGTTTTATCTTTAAAATTTAGATAAAACATGATTGATAATATTTATTAATACATATAAAAATTAAAATTAAAAACACAACCATACAAAGTACCAACACTTTGGTTGATACTAGCTCACACACAACTAATCACCTTGATATGTGTCCTCAGCTAACTCAAACCATATAATCCATAAACTCAAAACTTAGATAGAAAGAGTTTAAGTACAAAGTACAAGCAACACTTGTGGTCAATTTCATTGCTCACACCAACAAATTTAAAACAAGAGGGGAAAAGTGACAAGCAAATTTTCAACAGCCTAGCAGAATACCACCGGCTTTATTATAATTTTGTGAGATCTAACAATACAAATTATGCTTACCAGATATTATTTAAATTCGTAAGAGATAGTCTTCAAATATCCTATGGTCTAGAACTGAAATATTTCACTTGGCATTGCTAGTGGATAAGAATAGTTAGTCTCCACTGTTGCGAAGTTAGCATCTAATATGCTATTGTTGTTCTCCTCTATCTGCATTTTTCACCAACACAGCAACAAAACAAAGCATTAAGGAAAACCAGTTATCATTGGAATATTGTGATTATATCAAGATATACATTTGGATATAATTCTGCTCAAAATCTCCAACTTCATAAGATGTGCAGTTGTAACAACTTCATAGTGAATTTGTTACCTTATCGAGGAGATACTTGTTGGCATTTTTGAGGACTCCTTCCTTCACACACACACACAAAAGCGTTGAGCAATGTTAATTTATCGTTTTTTGTTTTATTTATACCTAAAATCCGGACTCATGCTAATTTATATGAAGCAGAATATACAATGATGCAATGGCCTTACCTTGTTTCTCAAGGACTGAATTTCTTGAAGCATAATCTCCATCTGCAATTTTACATATAAACTTATTTTTAATAGAAACCTATAAATATTTGCCAAAAAAAGAAACATATACCAAATTTTAGCAAAAAAAAAAAAAAGAAACATATAACTTTCCTAATCCTCAGTATTTATATTCATTTTCCCTAACATATTGATTGTACATCTATATATGCATTGGTGGCATATATACCTTAGCAGAGCGGATCTGAGAAATCCAATACACAAGATGCTTCTCAAGCAGAAGAAGTTCTTCAAGATTCATCGCCCCATTTCCTCCTCCAAACATATACCTGAATCCAAATTATTATATATACATATGCACATATGTATGTACGAATTTATAATCCATAAGAACAACTTAGTAAGGAAGTAGTATATATGTAAATAACTAATATATACCTTATTCCTTTCTGAAGCATCTCAATCTCTTTCTTAAGCACATTAACCTCATCTTTCGGATCCTAAACAATCAACTTTCTTTTCAATGTTTCTATTATTTGTAAATAATAATGTTAAGTTACAATTAGGGAACATGTCCGTACGTATTAAAAGACGTACATGTATCTATTCCAAAAATGTATAGATATATGCATTATCAAAAATAATGGAGTATCTACATGGTTCCACGCGTGACACGGACAACAGGTTAGGGCTACCTGTTAAGTGTCTAGGGCAACTTTTATCAAAAGACTGTGCTAACTGATATAAAATAATAATATGGTACTTAGTTCGAAATATAATGTGATTAAAGAATCAAAATATTCAAATATTTTAAAGTGTGATATGGGTCTTGTTGTCTCTAAAGCATCTTTTACTTTTAAGAGTAATTAGTTTGAATTGTCTTGGTTTACCGATAAAAATCGAAACAAATAACTTGTTTTGTTCTTTTTTCATTTATACTACTTGTAGTACAACGTTCCACAATATGTGAGTGGCTCACACTAGCAGAAAAAATAATAAATCACAAAATGGGAGCAGTAGGTGCACGACTGTTTACTTCATAATTTCAGGTAGAATCGGAATCTGGTGCCCTACTTAACTTCCAGACTATTTAATTCAGATCAATCAACAACGTCTAACATTGTCTTGCTTTACATGTCCACACGTGTTATCAAATAGCATATCAAAATAATATTTTTAGACCGAAAAGGAAGAAAAATAAAACTCCAAAAACGAAATGAAATGAAATGATTAACGATGTTTTTGAGACGTTGAGCGCAGGTTAGTTTAATCAACCCAAAAATGGCATAACAACCAAACAGTTTCAACAATAAATTCCAAAACTCAAAGAGAATATTAATTAAAGTTCTATATCTGAACAAGGAACTATATATAATTAAAATGGAGATGAACGTACATGATTCGGGGGTTGAAGTTGTTCTTGAGCAGTAAAAGTAGCAGAAGAAGAGCCACAACCTCCGCTAGTACACTTCATGTACTTATCAATCATCCCCTCCATTGTTCTGTATTTTTTTCATAACTCCACATATATAAATTTCTGTCCTATTACATTTAAACACTCCTCCAAAATAAATGAATGAGTTTTATAATAATACCCTTTAGTTGCAAGCTCAAAGAGCTTGCCTTGAGGAGAAAAGATTACAACACCAATCTCGGCGTCGCAGAGCACAGAGAGCTCCTTGGCCTTCTTCAGAAAACCGGTTCTCCTCTTGCAGAACGTCACCTGTCTGTGAACCGGGTTCTCGATCCTCCTCAACTGAATCTTTCCACGAACCATCTCTATATGATGATTTAAAGTTTGGATTTGAAGGTAGAACGTGGACCAACCTCCCACTAGTTTGAACTAGCTTCAAGGTTCCCCACTTACTGTTTGGTTTCTCTTTTGTTTTTTTGGGAAAAACTGTGAAATTATGACCAAACTCATGCCACCTTCTCTTTATATATAATCTCCGTTGTCAGATTCCCCCACTCAGTTCTGTTCTTCTTAAAACACCTTTTTCTCAACCAAACCTCATTTTCACTTATGTAATATATATGTACGTGCCCATATATGTTATATGTCAAGTATGCATTCATAAAAAGTATATAGCTACACAGGCGAAAGCTCCTTCTAAAGCATTGTTAGTTATTTTATGGTTTTGTATATTATTATACTAGCTCTTTCTTCTCTAGCTTGTATAAAATTAACTTCTAGGTTATACTTTACTGACTGATTGATCTTACATCGGATGTGACATATGACTTGGCATGCACTAATTGATACAAAATGTAACTAAGTATATAAAATTTAACTCTATTTGAATATCTAATTATTCAAATATTTTTCTATTTTATTAGGTTATTTAAAGTATGATGAAAAATGTATCAATGTTTAATTGCTACCAATATATCTATTCAGTAACGGCCATGAGTACAAACTTTAGAAGCTGTAGCTTATTCCGACCATCGTATTTTACATATATTACCACTAGTTTAGTTGGTAAAAACAATATTGAACCTCCGTGAAGGTTAATGGTTCCTAGGCTGTTTTTTTCATATATTTTTTATAAAAAAAATTATAAATAAATAGTCCAATTTTTTTTGTTGGTTTTGAACCCTAAAATTTATAATATCGGGCTTGTACCTATTAAAGACCAACACACTTTTAGCTTATTTGTTTTGACTGAATTTCGGTCTATGAACGAATATATATACTCGACAATGCTAAACCGCACGGCAACAATCATTGTTTTTTTCCTTAAAAACAACAATCATTGTTATGATATGTAAGCGTTGATGAATTATTTCAAAAAAAAAAAACCTTGATGAAAATTTATATCAAGGTCAATTAATTAATAGTTTCCTATATATATATATATGTTGAGTTATATATTGCTCGATGGGGAATTCCTAACCCATTTTTAACCGTTAAGGAGAAAATAAGTGATGCTCGTTAAGCAATAAGCATAATTAGTCAATATTTAAAGAGGGTATTATATTCATCTCATCGTGGTGGAGAACCAATGACCTGCCCATGTTAGCTTCCAATGTGCCTTTTTCGTTATTTCGTATATTTATTTACTTATTTTCCATTTCTAAATGTTTTTTGGCCATCTTGCTTTTTTCCCTTTCTCTACGTGACAACACCTGAATCTTATTCTTTACCAGTAAGTTGTTTTCAACTCTCTTTTTCTTCTTGGAATATGGGACTACTTTTCCTACACATGAATAGAAAATGCACTAATTTGTTCGAAATATATACCTATATACATTAGTTGTTTAGTTAATCTTTACAGATCATATGAACGAACTTTTGTTTCTCAGTTATTTTTAGGACTAATGTCGTAAGCATTTGTTTCTCTCTCTTAAAGCTTACTATTGATCCAACCTATAGCTTCAGATATTGGTAGATGTACAAAATTGTGACCCACCAACTACTTTTTAAGATATGGACCGGAGTTAGTCTTCAGTCTAATCTTTTGAGAAAACATGTTTATCAAAGTGGATTGAGAAAACATGTTTATCAAAGTGGATCAAAAAAAGAGAGGGGGACGTCTCTCTCTGTGAGGTGATGACGGACTGATGTGTTAGGTTAAGTAAGGAAGAAGGGAGTAAAATTAATAATCTTTGACAAATCAAAATGTATCAAACATGCAAAATCCAGAAAGTGTGTGTTCGATCAGTTGCTTCTTTTGCCTTGCATCTTTGATCTCATTGGCTCTCAAGATCGTATCTATGATTGACACATGGTTCATCTCTCGTCTTGTAGGGGCATAATGCTTCTTTTTATTCCACACTCCCTAACTTTTATGTATTTAATTTGTATACTATTTATCCTAAAGCGTGCTTTTAATTTAACTATATATGACCTTATGTACAATGCGATCTGCGACATTAATAGTTTACTTCAGAAAACTTCGATATATACATCAATATAATATGTGATTTACCATGGCGGGAACCGACGGCGATGAACCCGCCGGCCACCGAATCACAAAACACTGGATCGAGGTTTCTAGAGAGAGGTCAAGGGATTTAGCGAGAGAATATAAATTTGTTAATATGTTCTCATTATAATACAACATTATCTGATGAGATGTTTCTAAGAGATGAAATACAAAATTATTTCTTACAAATTGATACCTTTATAAACTAGTACATTTTGCAATTTCACTATTATTGATTTTATAAAGTTTTACTGTATGTGTATTGTATTTATATGTATATAAACAAATGCAATCAAACAAAAAAAGATAACAAATATTTGTATAAAATGATTTGTGAGAAATTGTTTTCTCTTAAAGAATCGGCTTGTTCTATAAAACAATTTCTAACATATCCAGATTAGCGAGATGAATGATTAAAATAAATATTTAAAGTAAATAATATTTATTTATAAATGTTATAATTAGTTAGTGATACGAAACTGGATGCAGTGAAGCATTCAGCCATCCACAAAATGGTGTCACAGCTTATAGAATAATACACCAAGTTGATTTTTAACAAACTCCAACTTGATTTAGTTCTTTTTTTCCTTTTTAATATCAAATTATTCCAACTTGAATTTATTAAATGAGATATATGCAGGTTTTTGTATTGTTTTCCGTCATAACATTTAACAATGTTTTATGATTCGAACACTAATATCTTGAGAAATATGCCATATTTGGTAAAAACTATAATTCAAAAAAAAATACTATCCTTCCTTTTCCCATAAAAAATCATACTAGCATGTACTATAGTAACTACAAAACTAATGTGGAGATCAGTGAATAATTACCTCCAAAGTAATTAATTAGTGTTCAAGTACTTCTACAACTCTTCTGTTCCTAGATTTTTCTATGCACCAAACAAATTTGTTTAGAAGAGCTAGAAGTACTTGTAGAAACTTTTGACAAAAAAAAATGAGGCAAATATGAAAGTGAGAAGTGAGAAGACGATGCAGCTTTTAATTTTATTTTCTAGTTTTCCTAGTACAAACTACTACCAAGAGTGAGATAGCTTGAGGAAGATAACCTAATTACATAGCAAATTCTGGAAATATTGATGATCCTCACGTATGAGTCAAATCTTAGGTGTGACTTAGAGCACCCTCATCAAAGGATGATGTGGGAGGTTCACACACAAACCAAGAAAAAAAAACAATAAAATAATGTCAAAATTGTGAACCTGGGTCGCAGAGGTTCATGGCAGTGAACCTGGTTCACTATTGTTTTGTGGGCTCCAGATCACGTGGCGGCCCACGATTAATCACTTTTTTTTAAAAAAAAGATAAAATGAAAATAAATAAAAATTAATAAAATACTCAGTTTGTGAACCCCAAGTGGAGGTTCACTGATGCTGATGCCCTTAGTTTCGAATGGTATACAATCTCAACTATCTCTTTGTCTAGAAACAAAATATATTTTCGTTTTAACATCTCAATCAAAAAAATATGACTCGACGCAGCAGGATGGACGGTCAAGAACTCAACCGGAGCAGTTTGACCAACTTCCTAGCAATTACGTGTGCATCAATTACAAAGTTAGTTTTAATGAATTAAAAGTTAATACATAAGTAATATTGTTACATTATTTTTATTTATTTTTTTCTTAATAATTTATGATTATGTTTTTAATTATAGCCTTCTTTTTCTTTTATTTTCTTATGAAAGTAAATGAATAATAAAAAGTAAATATCTATAAATATATATTTTACATATATAACGAATTTTAATATTCTTCTATGTCCTTTTATGGAACAGCATACAAATAATTTACTTTGTCAAAAACGAAATATATTTACATTTTTATTATACATAATATATAGTTCATGAAAATAATTTGAGTATTTGTCTTTAGAAAAAATTAAAACTAAAATAGATACAAAGAGGATTAATTATTTTTTTATTAAAATTAGAACAAAAATTGTTGTAATTCAGTTCTGATGAATATATGCAACTCAATATACACAAAAAAATAATAAAGCAAATCAATCATGATGCTTATACCCACCATAAAAAAAAACTTAACTCAGTTGATGACATATTATTATTTAGAATAATCATCTATTAATTTGTATGAATTTAAATCATAAGTGACTCAAAACTAATTAATGAAAATTCAGAATAATATGTTAACAAATTATTATGGTTTATTTTGGTCATAAATATTATATACATGCATAAACTTTCAAAATATTATCGATTATGTTCACACAATTTTTTTTTTTGATAAAAGGTAAATAATATTATCAAAACGAGTTTGAGTACAAAGCAAAGATGCCTAATTCTTCTAATGGCCCAAAAAAGATAAAAAAAAAAACCATTAGAAGTTACAAAGAGGAGCTACAAGATCCTTAACTATATGTTAACCATCGTAAAAAAAGTTTAGAGCAATTTTTCCGCGATCTCCTAGCCAAGGAGATGTCCCGGAGATGTCTATCGATCTGTGAACACAAGGGAGTTGCAGTCAGCACAGTAGCATTATGAACCCTGTTATTTCTTTCCTTCCACAGAAAGTAGATAGTAGCTTGAATGACCAGCTTTTGAAGATTTTTTTCAGAACCTTTCTTCTTAGAGCTTAGAATCCAGACCATCATACACCGCCATGAGTTGAACACCCGCTGATTTACTCCAAGTCTTGGTAGAATGAATGACCAGACCTCCACAGCATAAGCACAGTTTATAAATAAATGATCCCTAGTTTCTTCATGCAGAGAGCAGAGAATGCAGGTTGTTGGGATGTTCATCCCCCATTGTGCCAGTCTTGTTTTCACAGGCAGTCTATTGAGATTGGCCACCCAAAAATTGAACGAGTGCTAGCTTTGGAACTCGATTCTTGAACCAGACCACCTTATTCACACAATTTTGAACAGATAACACTTTTATGTTTCTTTCCTACAAAAAAATAAATCAATTAGAAATGATTTTACGAAATATATTATAAGGCAAAGATAATAAATCCAAATTAAATGCAACTAACAAAGTTAATATGATTTTAGCCTACTTAAAATCTTCTAACAGTTATGGTTCATATGAGATAAATACATGCAATATAATATATCCCAAAAAATAAGTGAATCAGTCAAAAAAAAATTTAAGCAAAATAACATGTATGTTTAAAAACCTTATTTCATGCATATAAATTACATGATTATCCAAAAAAAAAAAAACCTAAAAATTATAAAATGCATATTTTAAAAATATTTATATCCGTTTATGAGCACAGAATAATTACATAGTTTAAGAATAATTACATAGTTTAAGATTATATATTTTGATTCAGATAATGTACAACTAAACGCTACTAAACCCTTGTGTGAAAAGGTTATCAACTTAAAGCCCAATTATAACTGATTGGCCCATGTTGTCTTGATCAAGTCCGAACTAAGTTATTTAGTTAGTTTTTGCTACGGTTAGAATCTTTGTTCACCTTTTCTTACATCTTTTGCTTATTATCAACAGTTGAGCCTTGCTTTTTCTTTGCATCTATCTAGTCTTTTTCTATTGCAGTGCATTTTAATAACCTTTGGAACGTGGGCTGCTAATTTTGAACAATTTGCAGTTCTTTTAGGAAAAGTAATGAGAGGCCCTCTTTTGGGTAATTATATTTTTTTTTGCTTTCGGCTCTCTTTCGTTGGGGAACATAGTAGGAATTCATTGTCTAATGTTACAGTATTTTTTATGTTAAAGTTAAATAATGATGCAGCTTCCGATCATTATCTTTGATCATTACACTTGCACTTTGCACCAACACCTTCCGAGACTTTTTTTTCTTTGATATTTCTTATCCTTGATCAGGTATGCTCTAGGAAGAATACAGTGAATACTACAGAATGAATTATTCTGAAAAGATACTATATTGTTTGATCTGAGTGTAGAATACATTCCAACTATTTCCAACTAATGTTAGGGGTAACCGATCATAGATTACAACCGATTATTCGATTATGTTAACCACATTAAAATCCAAACTTAAACTAACCAAATAATAATAATTTATTTTTTAGAGGGAAGCGAATATAACACTAGTATGGGTATACATTAACCCCAAATAATCATTGTTAGACTACCATCACTTGGTTAACACCTTTCAAATCCATTCCACAAAATTAGAATGCTGCAAACTTCATTCTTCTTTTCTTTTTCTTTTCTACGAATTTACTATAGTCTGTTTTCTTTTAAATGGAGGAATAGAACAGAATTTCTATGGAATAAAATTACTATTATTAGTACAGTGGTCTAAACTCCTTAGTTTTATGCTTGTCGTAAGAATATGAGACTTTGGTGCCTTCAGTTATAGAAAGTTTGGAGTATTATATTCATCATATGCCGTTTTTTAAATGAGATAAAAGAAAAATAACTATCTTCATTTTTGATATGTAATTAAATTATCAAACTCTTCTCAACAGAAAAAATAGTGTTCAAAGCCAACTACTCCCTCTGATGTCCTAGTCCTTATCACAAATCAAGCAGCCAAGAGAGCGTACCTTCGACCCCTATAAAAATAGCTTGTATTTTCAATAGTGATTGTAATCATATCTTTTCTTGTTTTTTTAAACACTAGAGGATTAGATTATCATTAAAACGAGTATTAGATTAGTGTATCTGTTTTGTATTATGGTTGTGGAATGTTTTCCATCATATCTTTTCTTGTTGACATGAATTTTTATAGTACTAATTTGTTCACTACAGAAAAGCGAATACAAACTTATTTTTAATTTTAACAATTCACGCACATTTATGGAGACGCACTAGCTTTTTTAAGGGTTGCACCTTTTTTTTTGTGACATACCCCTTTTTTAATTATATGCAAAAAAACATGTCAAATTTTTGGGTGTAACGTATATCTAATTAATATAGGAAAGAGAGCAACAGAGGAGAACGTGGCGAACAAAAATTAAAAGAGTCCTCAAATACATACAGATGTCAGGTTCTGAGGAACATACTTGTTTGGTCTACGATCATGTGCTCACTTTGCATTAGGGTGTTCAAACGTCAATGTCTTTCATCCTTTTTGGTTATCTCAAATTGTCCCACCACCTCTGCAAAGTCACATACTCACCATCTTCGTAAACCATTTACGATCATCAAGTGCCTTAACGAATATGCTTACACAAGGGCGCCTGACATTATTCCACATTCATGAGTGTTTCTTCTAAAATCCACATCGACGCTTACTTCTTTCTAAAGTGGATCTATAAAAGTCCCACGTTTTGTGATGACAAGGTCTTTGGAAAATATATAAATGTATAGATAATCCACCACTATTAAGTTACCTTTTGGGAGGTGAGTTAGGTATATCACCAATAAAATCAGATATGTGTTGGATTTTCATATCGACAAAACCATAATCTTAAGTGAACACATTATAATTGGTTGAAAATTAGATGGTTTCGTAATAACTTGTGATATATCTGTTTGTTGCTTGCTAAACAAATTAACTTACCTGCAGTAAAGCCAAAAAAAGTATAACTAAAAAGTAATGTTATTATGTAACATTTTAGTTTAGTAAATTGAGTTTAGGGTTACCACGCATTGACAAAATAAATTATGTGAGATATTTGTCGGTGATAGCATTTGTTGCCTTTGGATTCTATCTAAGACTTTCGTTGCGCCGCGGCAACATTTTCCGTGGTCTCGTTCGCAACAGTCCAAATTGCATGCCACTAGCTCGTATACTCTGACACTACGCACACCTTAGTTTTCAAATTAATATAGCACTATATTATAGAGTTTATGTTAACTTATGTTTTCATTAACAACATGAAGAGTATTTATACAAGAGATAATCCTTATCTATACTAATATATATGTGTTCCACATAGTCAGATAATTTGAATATTACACTAGTCTAATTTTATGTGCGTAAGTAATGTTCATTTAAGTACTTGTGAAATGATTCGAATGATGAAATTATCTCTCTAAAACATAGCACATGGGTTTTAAATTGAGGTTCAATAGCGCTGGGAAAAGACCCCTTTAAAACGGTTAGGTTGCAGACGAATAATTATTTTTAACATTAAAAAGAAAAACATTTTCACGTGACTAAGTGGTAAAATTAAATATAGTTTTTCTTTTTCTAAAATTAAATAGAAATGCATGTCAACTAATTGACAAGGGTTGAACATTCATTAAAAAAAAAATAATAAGAGTTTATTGTTTGTGTAGTTGTGTTAATCACATTGCCAATAGTTAAGTATATATATTAGGAAACTTCTCAATAAACAAGTCACGAAATTTAACGCCAGGGAAGAGAAACTAAACACGGTTTTGCACATATTTATCTGCTTTAATCTTGAACTGAAAAAAATTAAAATGTATAACTTTTGTTATATGAAAAGAATGTATGCGAAACAGCTGAGACGTATTATACGAAGAACGAGATCCCGTTCCTACCAAACGCAAACTTTTCAACTAAAATGTTCCTTTTAAATATAAAGCTTTCCCTTCAAAAATATTATTTAAAGACTTTTCTTTAAACCAAAAAAGCAAATAAAATTCTTTAGCATTCCAATTTTCTAATTAATATATATTTTAAAAACAACACAAGGACCACATTTGGCTATAAAAACGAAGTCCTTCTGTTTCCGAAGAACAACAATAGGCAGAGAAGAAAAAACTTTATAAATAAAACACCAACAAGAGAGAAAATGGCTAAGGGCTTATTCAAACCTGTCCTCAGTTTTCTGATATTGATCTCGTTAGTGGCGGTTGCAGTAAACCTTCCGTCCACGGTTGAGGCACAGGACAAGAAGAAGCCGAGGAGAGATGTTCCTCTAGTGAAAGGTCTCTCATGGAGCTTTTACCAGAAAGCATGTCCAAAAGTGGAAAGCATCATCAGGAAAGAGCTCAAGAAAGTCTTTAAGAGAGACATTGGTTTAGCTGCAGCCATCCTTCGTATACATTTCCATGACTGCTTCGTTCAGGTCTCTATCTTTTTCCTTCTTTTCTCTTTTTGTTGTGGTATAAAGAAACATGAATTTGATGTTCGTTAAGCCTAATCTGAACGGTCTTACGCAAGTGATATAACTTATTTTTCTTTGATAATAAAATACTTAGTTTTGTTAAGATAAGAAACCGTATCCACTTATACCCACACATAAAAAAAAATGACTCGCCTTGTGTTTCTGAAATATATTAAGAACAAAAACAAAAAATTTAAAAATCAAGAAACATGTTTGATACTTCTGTTATCACGTGGTAGACTAAATCCGACCAAAATAACCTTAAGAAAACTTAAAGTGGCCTCGAGATTCTCAAGAACAAGAAAAGGGGTTGTTGTTTCTTTTTTTTTTATCAACCGGGTTGTTATTTCTTTCTTTCTTTCTTTTTTTAGAAATGAACTGTTTCATAGCGTTAAGTGTAAACACTAGTCACTATATTAATTTGTTTCTGACACTACATGGCACATGCACTGAGACTTGAATAACATTAATGAATATAGCAGGACGTGTGGCATTAATACTATATACCTGCTTTTCGTGGGTTAGTTGGGTCGAACGTAAGATAAGTAAATATTAACCTTGACTAAACAAAAGTAAAGAGTAACCGAACCAATGGTACAAATAGGAATATGCTATTGAAATATATATATATTCAGTTTATTGTATATATAAACTGTATTAGATTTTCCTCTACACAAATACTAATCAAAATTTTATAGCGCTAATTGCAACACCATGTATTGAGAAGTGTGGCATACTTTGATGAGAGTCACGAGACATAAAATTTCATAAGAAAATCTAGAATATATTTTTTTTTGTTCAAGAACTGCTTTCATTGTTGATTTAATTAAAAAAATTAAAACAGGGATGTGAAGCATCAGTGCTGCTAGATGGATCAGCGAGTGGACCGGGAGAACAATCATCGATCCCGAATCTGACACTCCGTCAAGCCGCCTTAGCCCTCATCAATGACCTTCGTGCCCTCGTCCACAAGCAGTGCGGTCAAGTCGTCTCTTGCTCTGACATCCTCGCTCTAGCCGCCCGTGACTCTGTCGTCCTAGTAACCAACTCTCCCTCTCTTCAATCAAATCTCTCTGTCTTATTTATTTATACTATTTTTCAACCACACGTGACATATCAATACTATATATTATAATCGTTAAAAACTTTTTTGGCCAAATAATGTAGTCAGGAGGGCCAGACTATGCTGTACCACTTGGCCGACGCGACTCACTAGCATTCGCTAGCCAGAACACAACGTTAAACAACTTACCGCCACCATTCGCCAAGGCGGACCAGCTCATCGCCGACTTCGCTAATAGAAACCTCAACATCACCGACTTAGTTGCATTATCCGGTGGTCACACCATCGGAATTGCGCATTGTCCGTCTTTCACAGACCGGCTATACCCGAGCCAAGACCCAACCATGAACAAATCCTTCGCCAACAACCTCAAACGCACTTGCCCCACCGCGAACTCGAGCAACACGCAAGTGTTAGACATAAGGAGCCCTGACGTGTTTGACAACAAGTACTACGTTGATCTCATGAACCGACAAGGGCTGTTCACGTCCGACCAGGACTTGTACACGGACAAAAGAACACGTGGTATTGTGGAGAGCTTTGCGATCGACCAGAAGCTGTTTTTCGATCATTTTGTGGTGGGGATGATCAAGATGGGTCAGATGAGTGTCTTGACGGGGTCACAAGGAGAGATTCGTGCAAACTGTTCCGCCAGAAACACTGACAGTTTCATGTCTGTTTTGGAAGAAGGCATTCTCGAGGAGGCTCTTTCCATGATCTAGATAAAACCATATAAGTATCGCCTCTTATTTTCCTTTGAGTATGTTTTTTTAGTTAACGCACTTGTGGTTTGTGGAATGCTTGTATAAGACTATCTGATAAATAAGAGTGTTGCTTCATCTTAGCTTTGTTAGTTCATGAACGTATGCTTAATCTGTGGAATGTTCAAGATTAATTATCTGATTAACATATCTTATATCATAATTGATAACAATCTTGAGTGAGAAAGTATGAAACCCAAAATTATAAGCCTATTGAACTGTCTAATTTTTTGTTATAATGTGAAAATAAATGTAGAAATATCTCTTGGCTTTAAAATGAACTAGATCATAACCCGCCTGACTGGGCGGGTCTTTATTTTTATGGTATATATAAACATTTCAAAAAGTACAATCTAATGGTTCCAATTTTACTAAGTAATAGTATACTGTTTAAATATTATATTTCATCATTGTATTGTGTAACAGAGGCGTCGGTATAATATTGTGACCCGTTAATATTTTAGTAATAGTTTATAAGGTTTTTTTTTGCTAAATTTGGTACAAAGTTATATATACGAAACAATTTAGTCAAATTTTTAAGTTAATTTTTCAATGAAGAATTAGAAAGTAAGTATATCACTGTTAAAAACTTATAACAAAAGTCAATATAAATTATATAAATAAAATATATATTATTCTTGATTTATTCTAAATAAATTTAAAACACGAGTATATATATGTAAAAATAATTTTCAGAAATAAAGTAATATTAATGATAGAAAACCCAAAATCAATAATAATGATACTTTGGACCACATTAATCTTTAGTTTAATAAATAAAGCCCATTAGATTTGTAGGCTATCATTGTTTCCAATCACCATAATTTTAAATATTTCATATTCATGTTTCCAAACACTTAACTTTTTGTACTTCAGCTTTAATAGTATAGAAAGCCTTTCACTTAAATAAAGTGGAAGAGTAAAAATTCTTACATTGTTTATAACAAGAGAACTCTTATAATATAAATATGACATTTCTTTATCAAATTTCAATAGTTTGTGGAAATACTATGGAGAAAAGGTGATATAACCATTATACAAACTAGGGCTGTTCAATATGGTAATATTGAACTGTACCGAACCGAACCGAAATAGACAATGTGGTTTGGATTTGGTATATACCATATAAATCGAATGGATATGACTTTATAAAAACCGTAGGATTTGGATATGGTTAGGTTTATAACCGATTAAACCGAATAAACCGAACAAAACCGATCAAAGAAATAATATATAAATATATACATTATATAACCATTTATTTTCTTGTAATAGTCTTTTTTTTTTACTTTTTATTCCTTGTGAAGATATATCTTAATAATTTTATTTTATTTTCTTCAATTATTATCTAAATTTGATTTTGCATGTTTTAAGAAATTGTGAAATTAAATAGTAACATGTAATTTATTTTGAAGAACAAAGAGAAAATAAGAAATACTTACAAAACTGAATCGTTGGTCGTTTTGGTTGTTGTTAATTTCATTTTTTTATATTTATGAACACCTAGAATTATTTTAATAAATGATAGTTTTGACAATATGTTTTTTTTTTAATTCATATATTATGAAACCAAATCAAATAATAATGTTATTTGGTATAAAACCGAATAAACCGAAAACCGGTAGTATAAATACCGAACCAAACCAAATTAAATATGGTTCCAATATGGTAGCTAATTTTTATAAACCGAATAACCAAAAACCGAAAAAAAACCAAACCGAAACCGGACCGAACACCAGATTGAACATGCCTAATACAAACCAAAAGCGTGTGCCGCCGGGTTTCGGTTTGAGTTGGATTTGAGTTTCAAAATATTATTTGAAATAAATTAATACCAAGATCCTTACATAATTTTCTAAATAAATCTTAAGGGATTGTGTCTAATTAATTTCGATAAATGTAAATATTTTAGATTGTGTCAAAATAATTGTGGAAAAACTTCCAGATAATTATGATAATATTTCTGATTTTTACGTGATAAATATGAACAATTCTAGAATAGTTCCAAGAATAATTCCAGAAATATTTTTGGAATAAGAAATATTTCCATAATATTTTTAGGATATTCTAGGAATATTTCCAGAATATTCTGTATCCTTCCCATATAAATCAGCACATAGTCTCTTTATTATTTTTCAAGCTTCAAAGCAATAGAAGGTGGTTCTAACAAAAAATCGCAAAAAAACCGTTTGGCATTATAAGCGAGACTTTGAGTTAAGGAAATATATCAAATTCTGATTCCATGAATTTGTCTATTTTCTTAATGATTTCTTAAACATTTTTTCCATTTCATTTTAACATTATATCTATTTATGTCTCGTAATTTTCAATCACGATTTTCAAGGTCGTACAAAAGACACTGTAGAAGAAATATGATGCATGCAAATCCAAGACTCTTGTATTCCCAAGAAGGTAAAGTAAAAAAGCCTTGAATTTTAAACGTGGTAGAGTCTAACTAAATAGAGCCAATTAAAATATGGTGGCCCATGTCAAGCCCAACTTTCTTTTTCCATACATTGTAATGGGCAGCTAGTGAACCTCATGTCAAGTCCAAATTGCCCACAACAATGTACGGAAGCTGAGTAAGACATACGAACAAATCGTGAATCGTGAAACTTGGGAGTACAATAGAAAGAAAACTTGGTGAAGGTACCGCCCTTATAATATTTGTGTAAAGAACCCAACACGTTGGTCTTGTTGTACGGTTTATAATAGACTCCAGAGGTTAGTTACATTTTTTCTTCCACTAAGTACATATCCATTGATAATTTTTTGAACTTCTAAATTAAAACCAATTGACAATTAATCTAAATCGTTTATTTATTACTCATGTCCTATTTATATTTTCATTGTGTGATCTTTTCCCCAATACTCATCTCGTTACCTTAGATAGAATTTCATGGGAGAATCTTTTCACAGACCAGGAAAATCACTCCCTGGACTAGTTGTGCTCAAAATGATAGACTATACAGTATATACATGTTAACCTTTCTTTCTAAATTTTCTTAGTTTTCATCGTAATCCGTAAACTCTCCAGGTTAAAGCACATCATGTTTACGCTGGCTATCACCGCTTGCTTGGTCCTGGACAGTAATATGAAGGTATAATTAATGTTATTTCCTTACATTCAGAATAATGAATGCAAGGGCCAAAGTATAGAACTTACTAGCTTCAAGTTTTTTTGTTGCAAAGAAAGTGAGATCTAATCTATATAAGCAAATACAATCCTCTAGAAGATCACTAACAGTATGATTTATTGGTATAATTACACAACTCTTTACGCAAATAAAAACCAAAATCCGAGCCCCTTTAGCCCATTCCTCGTGTAGTGTTACTTAGGTGGTCTGGTGTTCGATCTCATCTTTTAGTAGCAATTATATCTGAGGTCAAAGTGTTTGGTGTCCTGTCCCTGTCTCGTTCGTGTTGTGTTATTAAATATCTTCTACTGCTACGTCACTGGGCCTAACATTGTCGCAGTATTATTATTGTGTCATAAGGGAGGCATTTTTCACCTGTACGCCGAAGAAAATTCAAGGTTTGATAAGTGTTTAATTGTTTTTTTAATGGAAGATAAACAATGCGTTCACATATGGAATGTCAAAGTCAAGCATGAATTAAAGTGATAACCTTTTGAAGCACAAATCCATGCTTGTTGTGGTTACACGTAGCTTTCAATTAGATTTTCTGAATACTTTCATGAACATGGATTCTTTTTTATATCTTTCTGATAGTGTACTTTATTTAGAAAGTATTATTCTGTTTTTATTAGTAAAAAAGCTTTCCTTTTTAAGTTGAATCACCATATACGTCTGATGGTACTTATTAATATAGTTTGATGGTACACCGAATTATATAACACTAGGGGTGGGCGTTCGGGTACCCGTTCGGGTTCGGGTCGGGTATTTCGGGTTTTCGGGTATTTCGGTATTGGGTTTAGAACCCGTTCGGGTATTTTTACATATCGGGTCGGGTTCGGATATTTTTAATTCGGGTTCGATTATTTCGGGTCGGGTTCGGATATTTAGATTTTGAAAGAAAAATTTTCAATTCTTAATTAATTAAGTTTCATGTATTTAAAATTTAACTATTAACTTAACTGTTTTTTAAATGTTTAAAAAGTTAGACGATTAATAAGTTTGAAAATAAATTATTGAAAATAAAAATCATTATTTTGGTTATTATTTTCGAATTTTGGATGCAAATTTTGTTTAAAGTATGAAATAAGAAGCTTAACATGCATTTTAAATGAGTAACAAATCATTTTTTTTTACTATTATATGTATATTATCTGATATTAAACTATATACAACATTAATATAAATAGTTTTAATAAAATGAGACAAAATAAACTAGGAATAAATAGGTATATATACATATGTTCGGTTATCTTCGGATACCCGTTCGGGTTCGGGTATTACCCGTTCGGGTTCGGATATCCAAACTCTCCTAACTCAATACCCGTTCGGATATTTTGGTACTTCGGTTCGGATTTCGGTTCGGATACTTCGGGTCGGGTTCGGGTACGAGTTCGGGTATCGGATAAAGTGCCCACCCCTATATAACACACTATGCAATACTTTTAAAAAAACACACACAATTTGGTTTTTTTTTTTTTTTTGGTCAAACAAACACAATTTAACAAACACAATTTGTTTCAAACACAAAATCTTTATCATGATTTCATATTTCAATTCTAACCACAATTAATGAGTCACATATCTTTGTTACTAACACACTGGTAGTATAAATCAATTAGTTTCTTGATTTTGAATTAGAGGTATTAGTGTTCTTTGGTTGATCTCCAATAATTTCTGTAGTCTTTCATACTGGATTTTGTAGATCTCCAATAATTTCTGGAAAGGAGAGAGAACGGTTGACCTGTCAAAAGCTAGTATTATTATTTTCCCATTCGTTGACTTTGTAATCAACCGCCTCTTTACGCCGTTGAATTATCTCCCATAATTTCCACGTGCGTAATCCTCATTGGTTCCGACAAAACCGTCGGTCACAATAACCGTTTTAAAAACCCAAAAAACACACAACTCGTATCATACACAAACACGGGAGAAACAAAGAACGCCGAAATTACGCGTTCTTCTGGGTTTTTTATTTTTATATTTTCAACTTTTTTTTCTATATAACTAAATCACCCAGAAACGTAATTTCGTCTGAGTTTCAAATTCCAATCCCCAATAATATTTCTTTCCATAATAAAAAGATTCTTGTGGATAATCTTTTCTCTCTAAAGAATCTCATACCCTCACAACTTTTTATCTTTTTTTATCTACATTTCATTTTCCCTATGGCGATCAAGAAGATGAATAGTTTGATTCCGAGCTGTTCTTCACCAGAGGATCTCAAACGCGTCTTGCAGACGCTAGGTTCGTCCTGGGGAGACGTAGTCGACGATCTCGAGAGACTTGAGGTTGTTCCGTTGAAAGGAGCCATGACTAACGAGGTTTACCAGATTAACTGGCCTACCTTAAACGGCCAAGACGCTCTTCACCGCAAAGTTCTTGTTCGGATCTATGGAGACGGCGTTGACCTTTTCTTTAACAGAGACGACGAGATCAAAACCTTTGAGTGTATGTCTCATCATGGTTATGGTCCTAAGCTGCTTGGCCGTTTCTCCGATGGGCGTCTCGAAGAGTTCATCCACGCAAGGGTAAGTTTTCTTGAAACACACACAACAAAAATTAGGTTTCTGATTTTGTTAGGAGATTTTTTTAGGGTTTTATAATAATATTGTTTGGGTTACAAGAAATCTAGAGAGGGAGAGATTTGTGTGTATATGAGATGATGAATCTGTTGGTTTGGGTTCGTTCACCAGACTCTTTCTGCAGGTGATCTTCGTATAACGGAAACATCTGACTTCATCGCTGCGAAGCTAAGAGAGTTTCACAAGCTTGATATGCCTGGTCCAAAGAACGTACTCTTGTGGGAAAGGCTCAGGACTTGGGTTAAGGAAGCTAAGAAGTTGTGTTCACCAAAAGAGATTGATGAGTTTCGTTTGGAAGAGATGGAAGATGAGATCAACTTGTTGGAAGAGAGGTTGACTAGGGATGATCAAGCGATTGGTTTCTGTCACAATGATCTTCAGTATGGTAACGTCATGATTGATGAGGAAACCAACGCTATTACCATCATAGTAAGCTTTTTTTTTTATGAATATAATAACCTTTCTCTTTTCATCAAGAAAGTGCTCTGTTTTTATAAGTTTTTTATTTGGTGCAGGACTATGAGTATTCGAGTTTCAACCCAATTGCTTATGACATTGCGAACCACTTCTGTGAAATGGCTGCTAATTATCATTCAGACACTCCTCATGTTCTGGACTACACTCTATATCCAGGTTCTTATTAGTGATTAGAATCATCTACTTAGTAGGTTGCTTAGGTTACTTAGTGTCTGATTGTGTGTGTGTGTGTAATGATGAACAAACAGGAGAAGAAGAACGGAGGAGGTTCATTAGCACATACCTTGGCTCTACAGGTTTGTTTCCCTTCTTGAATCAATAGTAACTTTTTCACACACTAGAAAAAACTCATCTCGTAACCAAAAACATATCCCTCCTTTTGTGTTAATCTCAGATGCAACAAGCGAGGAAGAAGTGGAGAGACTAATGACTGATGCAGAGAGATACACTTTGGCAAATCATATCTTTTGGGGCTTATGGGGAATCATCTCGGTTTGCTCTCTCTCTCTCTCTCTTTCTTTCTCTACATTGAGATATTTTTAGCTCTTTATATTGGAACTTGGTAGTAATTGTGGTTTTGATGCAAAACAGGGGCATGTGAACAAGATTGAGTTTGATTACAAGGAATATGCAAGGCAGAGATTTGAACAGTACTGGCTCAGAAAGCAACTACTCCTAGATTGACCTTAAAGGATGAAGAAGATTCAGATTGAAGCAAATTTGTATCTCTAAAAGTTTATACAATTAGATAAAAGTAAAGGAGACTTTTAGGTGACTATTATGCTATTGTTACTTTTACCAATTGCTCTGTTTTCTTCCATTTTATATAGAGGTGTGTAAACTATAGAGGTGTGTAAACTTTCAAAGCAATGGACATTTGGCTTTTGTTTCAAAATAAATAACATACAAATAAAACAAGAAGCACCAGTGGTCTAGTGGTAGAATAGTACCCTGCCACGGTACAGACCCGGGTTCGATTCCCGGCTGGTGCACAAATTTTTGGCTCGGTTACTGTTATTTTCATCTTCCCCTAAACAGAAATAAAATGGACTAAGCGGAAACAAAAAGTAGTAGCTGGCCTTATTCCTCTTTGTAAATCACCTTTTACAACTTAAAATTTTTACTGCACTTTTAATTACACTTTGAAAACATAAATTTAGATATTTTGATATGAATATTAATCTAAAATATAATATAAATAGAAATCATAATATTCGGCATATATTTCACATTTAAATATTTTATTTTCAGATACACAAGTCTTAATCTAATTTTGGATACGAAGAAGGAAAACAGCCATAATAACCTTAATTATTTAATGGTTCTCAGCAATAAGGATAATTTTTAGGTTCTCACTTTAAAGCTTCTAATTAAACGAACAAAATTTTGGATTCACAAAAAAAAAAAAACGAACACAATTTTGTTGTTTGGACAACATTTAACTTATCATTATTCCAAAATCCAGTTTTCCCAAGATATTTCAAATTTACGGCCGCCAAAGTGAAGAAGTAAAAAAAAAAAAGGAAAGTAGGTTTTTTTTTTCATAATCCTAATTCGTTTTGGAAGAAAAATAACCATACAAGTACAACTATATAATATAGTTCCTGTCCGAATCCACCTCTCATAATTTATGCAGTCTGATCAGTCCATAATCAATGAATCAGATAGACCTGATATGTTGAGAACTTGAGACTACGAGACCAGTCGATGATCACAAATTACTCTTCCGAAGTGTCACCACAGCCCAAGAAAAAGAGTAAGAAGACTAATGAGGAGGCTTCTCCATCATGGTCGTCGTTGCCAAACGCTGTAGCTCTAAGCTGCGTGGCTCGCCTCACGAAATTGGACTATGTAGCCGTGTCTCTAGTCTCCAAGAGACATCGCTCTCTTGTAGCTTCTCCTGAGCTAGGCCGCGCACGGTCACTAATAGGTTGCACCGAGGCATCTCACTATATATGCTTACACATCATTCCTCACCCAAACCCAAGTTGGTTCGTCTTTACAAAAGATAGACGGTTGAGGCCGATCCCATCGAACCCTTACCAGTCTCCAAAATCATCCTCTTTCGTGGTGGTGGATTCGGGGATTTATGTAATAGGTGGAATCATAAACCGTTGTCCAACTTCGGATGTTTGGTTTCTCGATTGTTTCTCTCATACATGGAGTCGAGTCCCATCGATGAACATGCCTCGTGCTTCCGCATCGGCAAGTTATGTAGACGGGAAGATATACGTGTTTGGAGGGTGCGGGGATGACGCTGATTCCACCAAATGGGCGGAAGTTTTTGATCCGAAGACTCAAACTTGGCGTACCTTTGTTACACCAAAGATGTCACACAGTATCGACCAAAGTGTGGTGATACAAGGGAAGAAGGTTTACGCTGTTGATGAGGAGAATCAAAGCTTTTACTTCTTGCCAAGTGAAAGTACATCCTGGACAAGCGGACAAAGAGATACTAAGCCCGGGAACAGAAGTGATTGGTGTGCGGTTGGGGAATTGTTATTTTGTCGTGGAACTCGGGGGAGAATATTGTGGTGTGAGCCAGATGAGTTGGATTGGAAAGAAGTGAATGGCTTGGAAGAGCTGCAACAGTATTTGTGTGGCATTAGACATGTCTTGGAGTATAGTGAAAAAGATTATGAAATCTGTAAACTATCCGCGACCAAGGTCAAATATGATATTTGCAAACTATGTTGCAACTCTGCTGGGAACATTGTCATCTTTTGGAACACGCAGCTTGAGTATCCTGAGGGTTTGGAGCTTAGGTCTGCTGAGATTTCCTTCGAGAGACATGAGAGAGGCGAGATTTGGGGGAAGATTGAGTGGTCCGGTGTTGTCTTTAAAGTTGATCCTCTCTCACACTCATTTGGCGTTAAGGTCTTATATTCTACTTCTGTCTATTCATAAATTACAATCTTATATATCAGACCTTGGTTTAAACTATATATTTTTTATATCCTCACATTGCTGTAAATATGTTTTTTTCTGTGGTTGTTAGATTTTTCTAACTGTAGTGTGTTTTGCAGTTTTGCACTACGTGAGTTTTTATGGTAATCTCACTAAAGAGTAAAATATACAACTCTATGAAGAGGAACGTTTTTCTGTGTGATGCATCAGTAACGACATGAGAGAGTAATACATATCCGTTGAAAGAGATTGTCTCTTTCGCCAGTACTTCATATGCAAAGAAACAAACAACAAGCAAACCAAAAATATAAAATAATCCCTTCTTTGTTTCTAAACGATTACGGCCACAAGTCTCTCGTCTTCAATCTCAGCATCCGTAAATGTCAACGCTTTTTGAAGCTTCCTTGCGGAAAACACCTCGACTTCAGCCATGTATATCGCTGTGACCGGACGATGATCTGAGAATTTTTGTTCGGTCCGCCGGTAATGAACCAGCTTCATTCCATTGCCGTATGATAATACTCTGTCACACCAAGCTGGTGTTCTCCGCGACCCCTTTCCATCTCCACAAGTGTACTCATCGGAATGTGCTTGGTACTTATAGGTTGGTGGAAAATGTAGAGTTCCTTCTGACCATCCGTCAAATGCTCGTCCTTTCTTGTATTCTTTTACCAGCTGCCATATAAATATTCACTCGTTAAGAAACAAAAAAAAAGTAAAGTTGAGTAGTGGAGCTTAATCACATATGAGATCTAAATCCTAATATCAACAAAAAAAATTATTCCCTGTTTCATTTTAATAGGTGTTTTAAAGTTTATTTGTTTCAATTTAAATGATGTTTTCAAATTTCTATACAAACCTTTAATGCTGTATGGTGTTTTTGATCAATTGTATTTTATTGAATGATTTTTTATTGGTTAGATTTATGTTTATTTTTAATGTAAAATGAATAAAAATTAACAATTTCTTAATAACTATGCAAAAACCTAAAACACCAACTAATATGAAACAGATGAAGTATTTACCTGATCATATTCAAGTAAGTTGGACCATTCTTTCTTGGAGATTAAGTCTCTGGCTTTCTCATAAGATAGATTAAGCCTATAGTTAAGATCGCCTAACCAGATTATTCTTCTGCATAGAGGTTAAAAACAGAGTTAACTTCTAGAAATAAATTAACTTTCTTTAGTAAAAAGATAGCAAGAGAGGAAAAAAAAGACTGACTCGTGATCATAGATAAGCTTGGGAAGTCCAAGAGCTGAAACAGAGTGAAAGACTGTTCTCTTATGTATCTCGTGAACATCAGCGTTCCTCTTGATCTGATCAACCTCTCGTTCTCCAGCCGTCAGATGTGTGCATATGAAACAGAAGAACGTTTGGTTTATCGACATACTCACAGACACAGCTCCCTGCAAACCACAAATCACTTTAAATCCCCATTTTGAACATATAGTAACATAATTTATAATCTTTTTTATATACCTTGTTACCAATATAACCCATGATACCAACTCCAACGGTAGAGACTCTAACGTTCTGAATGTGTTTTCTCAAACTTCGTTTAACCCAAATGGTCAAAAGAATCCCAACCATTTGTTTACTCACTAGCCTCACATAAGCCGGTCTTCGTTTCCTCTCCATCAACAACTTCAAATCCATCTCAGCTAACGCCAATACCTCTGGGGGAATCCCGTTGGCGTGTCCAGCTACAGACTTAAACGAACTATAAGCCTTGAAAGACTTTGCTGTTCTTAACGACTTCACTGTCTTTAACGATGGTTGTCTATCGAGAACACAAGTAGGTCCCAACATGTTCAAAGGAGGCTCCGGCCAGCTTAAACCGATCCTTTCTTTCCCACTTAACATCCGGTTTAGTGTCTTCATACCGGGTTTAGAGACATCATCCTCGTCGTTCCTTCTCTTCTCTAAGCTGTCGGAACGTAGACAGACTTGTCTGTCTAGCTTCTTGGTAGAAGAGAACTGTGTATTAATCTCAACAACGGGTAAACCGGTATTTGGGTCAACGAGGGTGTTGACTTCTCCTATAACTCCACCGTCATGTTTTAGCACCCCGAGGCTTCCTTCTTCTTCCTCGTCAATGGGGTGAATCTCAACGCCAGCGTCACTATCTGTCTCGTAAGCTACTTCTCCCTCTATAACATCGTGTGTTTCCTCGAAA